CACCCCATTTCATTTATGTTGATGTGCTTTATGGACACATCACACTTTTTCAACAAGTGCCTCTTTTTTTTTTTTTTTGAACACACCCCTGGATAAAATGCACTTTTATTAGTCAAGTAAATTGTAGCAAGTTGCATCAATTTTTCCCTTCATGAATTGATAAATTACTATCATAAAACTGTTCTGAAAGGTCAGTAAGAAAGAAAATGTGACCACTTTGTCTTGTGGCATTCTTCCTGTGTTACAGAGAGGAAAAGCACCCCAGATCTGAGCTTTCACTGCAACGCACTGCTCTGGCTCCTCTGCTACCAGCACTGCAGGATCACAGTAATGCTCTCATCTTACTGTTTAGCTTCAGACAGCAATTTCCAGAAGACTTGAAAGCAGGAGTATCTGTGACGGATCCCGTCAAAAGTCCACATATTCAACAGAGGATTCTTATCCACTATAACGCTATATGACAGCATAACCTGTCTGTAGTCTGGTATTCTGTCTCTTGCAAAGCTCATCTGAACGCATCAAAGAAAAGCACATAACCTTAGACACACACATGGATCTGTAGCCCTACAACTTGATAGACCTCTCCTTCTGACTCGCATTGATCAAGCCTTGTGAATTTACAAATAATTATAAACACAGCTAAGGCTGGACGTGTTCTCCCCTGGACTCTGAGGCATTTTTCCTCTCCAAAGATCCTTACAAGTGTTACTTACTTCCTCCAGTAATGTTTTAAGTGTGAAGTTTGGGAACTTCCCTCTATTCCTAAACCACTCACATTGATGCTGGTTTACTTCTGGAGGAATAACTTCACTGCTTTTTAGCACTGTACAAGTGCCAGAAAATCCTCTGGAAGAGGACTGCGTTGTTCCACCCATTAGACTGGAAAGGCCCTGGACATCTGTGATTCCACGTCAATAAAAACAGTTACTGTGGTGACAATATAGCAAAGAGGTATGCAAGAGCAAATTCACTAGTTATTATTAATCATTATTAATACCGACAATAGACATTATCTCATCAAATAATCCTAGATCTGGTGAGAACTTTTGTTTGCTCTCAATAAAGGCAAAAATATTATTTTTAGTTATGTATTTTAATTTTTTTTTAAAGAAAAGACTTGATTCAGTTTTTTTCTGAGTTCCAACTGCAATTGAGAACTGAAAAAAAAAATGCTGTAAGTTTACATAGTCTTGGCATTATGTATCGTCTCTGCACATCAGAAGACCCTCAGGCACGTCAGGAGCCGGAAAAAATGCTCTAGATTTTTCATATCAACTCAAGCAAAGAAAACTCTATTTTCCCAGTGATGTGAATCAGGCAACACTTCCATCCAAACCAGCAAATCAGAATAACGACGGGGTTTTTTGTTTGTTTGTTTTAAGATAAATAATCGTCATTTGGCCAGCAATAAATTTTTAGCTGGACAAGATGCTTTTGGTATGCATTACTCCCTTCCTTATCTGACATTTAAATAGTTTTGAATTTGTGAAGTAAATTCCCTAAGGGCTGTCCTGCACTTTAAGAGACAGATTTTATTAATTGAAGACAACAAATCACTTACAGAAAATAATCGTAATGTAGGAAAGGCCTAGGCAGGGTTGTACTCTGAAAATCTCTTTGTAATTGTAGCCCCTTTAGACAGGCATAATCAATTAGAAGTGGTCTGATTTTAACCAGTTGCAGGCTCATTACACTGCATTCCCATTTCTGTTGCTGAAAATCAGTTTCAGCCCGTGGCCTGGAACTCATATACAGCACTTCCTGGGGCCTCTTAGATAAACACATCAAGAAACAGTTTTATTTGGATTTGTCCTTCACCCTTTATTCATTGAAACAACTTTACAAATCAAGATTAAAACAGAGAAAAATTGGCTCATAACCAGAGATACTCATATATGAGTAAGATATTTAATCTCAGAAAAGTACATAGCTTCAGTTAACAATTATTCCTTACAGAACATTTAAATGTGAGACTCAAAATGTTCATTTTTAACTGCTGAGTTTAGTCTTTCTCTTACTGTGTCATGGGACGCTCAGGTTCTATTTAATATAAACATATTACTCCTTTATTTCAGAAGGGCTTCTGCCTGCGATATATAAAATTGTCCCTAATGTATCTTCAAGTTTTCAAAACCGTATTTCCAGTCTAAGTTTCTACTCTCTGAAGATATTGCCTACAATATATCATTTTAAACCTATATAGGAATGAAACGTTTAAGCAAGACAATAGTAATGAACTATCCCTGAGCAGAGAGAGTCTGCAAAAACAATTGCTTTTCTTCTACAGAAATTGTACTTTACAGCACCCAGGCTTGGAACAGTCCACACGAGCTTTGAAAAATAAATGAATCCACTACAGTCAGTAATCCAGCCACAGCATGGTGCAGTCCCTCAGGCTCAAAGGGCTATTTGCAAGGCAGGGGCATGAAAAAAAAAAAAAAAAAAAAAAAAAAAAAGGGGGGGGTTTCCGGGGGGGGGGGGGAAAAAAAAAACCTTTTAAAAAATCAC